ATTCCAGAGTCCACAGGAAAGGGGACAGGACAGACATAACAAAACCTCCAGACACAAAGCCTCTTTGCTTAGAAAAATTCAAAGCAGAAGGGAAGCACAGGGTTGGACAGCACCTGAGTGAACCCTCAGAGCTCTGAGTGAAAGATCTCACCAACAGATAAGAAACAGAGACCAAGTTTCTCACACAAACACAGGCTGGTGTGGGGCTCACAGGGCTCATTCCTACCCTGTGCTCAAGGTCTCTATGCCTCCTACTTTCTTCTGGTGGGTTCACCAGGAGCCAAGACTAGTTGAAACGGCCCACGGAATCCTTGATATTACACACAGGCCAGGTGAACCTAGTATGATCAAGGCCTGTACTTTGCTGGTGGGGCTGGACCAAGAATGAGCAGGACTCAATTCAGAGTCTTAAACGGCTTGCAAAATAGACACACAAAATGATTGCAACTGAGTACTAGTAACAGTTTTAAAAAATAGCCACTATTGCCGGATGTTGTGGTACAGGCCTTTAATCCCAGCACTCAGGGTCAGGGTTAGAGTCACAGGAAGATTTCTGTGAGTTCCAGGACAGCCAAGGCTATGTAGAGACCCTGCCTCAAAACAAACAAACAAACAAACAAACAAATAAAAGGGGGGAAAAAAGCCCCTCTTGGGCCAGCCATTTTATCTGTTGGCTGTGGCTCAGTTGGTAGACAGCTTGCCTAGCATGCATACAAAACCTGGGTTCAATTCCCAACACCACATAAATCTAAGCATGATAGTTCATACCTGTCATTCAGGCTCTTGGAAGGAGAGGCAGGGGGATCAGAAGTTGAATACTACCCTCAAGCCGGGCAGTGGTGGTGCACACCTTTAATCCCAGCATTTGGGAGGCAGAGGCAGGCGGATTTTCTGAGTTTGAGACCAGCCTGGTCTACAGAGTGAGTTCCAGGACAGCTCGGGCTATAAAGAGAAACCCTGTCTTGAAAAACCAAAAAACCAAAAAACCAAAAACAAACAAACAAAACCAAAAAAAAGAATACCACCCTCAGCTACAAAGTGAACTTGAGACCAGCCTGGGCTACATGAGACCCTGTTTCAAAAACAAGAGAAGGGTAGTTGAGTTACTACGTCCAGCTGACTGTGCTGCCATGTTACACAGCGACAGACACTATCAACATGGCAGACGAGGGGAGGGGGCATGCAAAATCATGAAGAGGCACAGACTGTAGCCCTGGAGGCCAATCCTGGGCCTGGAGCTTTTTTTTTTTAAACAAACAAACAAACAAACAAACAACTTTTTTTTTGGTGATTTTTTTTTTTGGTGAATTTCACATCATGAACCCCAGTCCCACTCATCTCCAGTTCCCCCATAACTACCCCCTGCCTTTGAAACCTCCCCACCAAAATAAGTCTCGCTGTGGAAGCTAACATCTGTCACAGGTGTCACACTTTTGCTCAGACAGCTTTACCTGCAAAAAAAAGGTTCATTGCAATGCGTCACTGGTCTGGTTCCAGGCTTCTGGCTTCTGCTGCATCATCAATCCTGGATCCTCACTGGGACTCCTTGGTTATCCTGTTGTTGCCCTGTGTCATGGAGATCCTGCAGCTTTTGATCTGCGGGACTGGCCCTTCATGTGCTCGTAGATGGGTAGATGTTGGGGTGGGCAAACTCAAAGACCTGGATCTGGACCCCGGTGGTAGACCTGGATCTGGACCTCGGTGGTAGACCTGGATCTGGACCTCGGTGGTAGCTGAGTTGGTCAGCTCATCAGCTTATCAGAGCCCATGCCGTCAGGGCCAGCTCCCCCATGTTCCCCCCGTGAGGGATGGGGCTAGCCTATCTCTTTGGGCTCACACCACTGGGGACCTGTAGCCTTTTCTACAGACTGAGTGTCCACCATACTTCCAGGTCATGGCTACAGGATCTCTCTGGCTGCTGCCATTCCCTCAGTCTCCAGTCCTTGGTTCGTATCATGGCTCATCACAGACAAGTTTATTTGCTTAGTAGTCTGAGCCTAGCACAGTGGCCGAGTAGCACTGTGTTGCTGAACTGAACACAGAGGGCTGCAGAGAACCATCTTGGGTGGCATCACTTTTCCCATCCCTTAGGCTTCCCTGCTTGGGTGGAGACATAATGGAGTCAATGAATACGTGTGTGATGTTTAGCTCTGTCAACTAGACACAGTGTAGAACACTGGAGGAGAGTCTTAGTGAGAGGTATACATTAGGTTGGGCTTTGGGTGTGTCTATGGTGGATTGTCTTAAGTAATTGATATGGGGAGACTCAACCCACTGTGGGTGGCACCATTCCCTAGGCAGGGGGCCTCAAACAGCACAGTGAATCAAACTTGAGCTAAGCATAAGCAAGTAAGCAATTGAGCTCTTGTGCCCTCATGGCTCTGCTTTTGACTGTGGGATACACGACAAGCTTTAAGCTCCTGCCACGTTCACCTCTCTAGAAGAGTGAAATTGTGAGTTAAAACGAGTCCTTTCTCCCCAAAGCTGTTTTTTTGCCAGGGTGTTCACACAACAGCAGAAATGAAACTAGAACAACATGCTCTGTGGCAGGTGCTAGCCAGGATGCTTCTAGGGCTGACACAACTGAGAAAGCCCACCAAGTGGGAGCCACACTTGAGAAGGAGACCAAGGCATATAAGTGAGTCACTTTCTTGCCACTAATGATGAGAGAGAGGGAGAGACTCACATGAGTTTCCATCACAAAGTCTTAGCGTTGTTACTTTTACTCTGACCTAGAACTTGCTATGATGGTGAGCTTCTGACCTTCCAGCCTCCACTGTAGAGTGCTAGGATCACATGTGTGCTTGACCATACCTTGTTTCTTCAGGGATGGGGATGGAACCCAGAGCCTTAAACATGCTAGGCAAACATTCCATCAACTGAGCCCTGTGGTGACCAGTGGTGGTACACGCCTTTAATCCCAGTACTCAGGAGGCAGAGGCAGGTGATCTCTGTGAATCTGAGACGAGCCTGGTCTACAGAGTGAGTGCCAGAACAGCCAGGACTATACATAGAGAAACCCTGTATTGAAAAAAAAAAAAAAAGGTAGAAACCTCAATGCAAGTTTCCAGTCAGCCAGAGGGGCAAGGGAAGCTGAGGGAAAGGCTCTGACGCTCAGGAGCTGGAACACTGTCGTCTAGAGCCAGTGTGTTCCCTCCCACCCTCTGGACAGTCAGTCACCTTACCCTCCTGCAGCCCACATGTGGTATTATACCACAGCTTAGACAGATGCCTCACAGTGACTAAGAAGTGATTTCAGAAAATGACCTTTTCTTTTTCATAGAAGAAATAAAGACCACAGGAGATCATCTGCTGTCCCCGTCAGTTGACAGGAGACCCAGGGCTAAGCAATTTCATTTCAAGTAAACTAGAATTACTGAGAAACAAACATGGACAGACTGACAAACAGAAAATGACACTAGACAATGGGGGAAAGGCCTGAGGATGTAGCTCTGTCAGTCAGATGCCTAACATGCATGAAGCCCTGGGTTCCCTTCACAGCAGTCTAAGAACGGCATGGTTTGTAAGAAGTGCATGCTTGCCGGGCGGTGGTGGCGCACGCCTTTAACCCCAGCACTTGGGAGGCAGAGGCAGGCGGATTTCTGAGTTTGAGGCCAGCCTGGTCTACAGAGTGAGTTCCAGGACAGCCAGGGCTACACAGAGAAACCCTGTCTCAAAAAACAAACAAACAAACAAACAAACAAAAAAAGTCCATGCTTGTAAGAAGTGAGGGCCAAAGGATCAGAAATTAAAGGTTATCCTTGGCTACATGATGAACTCAAGGACAGCTTTGGAACCCTGTTTAAAAAACAAAAACAAAAACAAAACAGGGCTGGAGAGATGGCTCGCTCTTCTAGAGGCCCTGAGTTCAATTTCCAGAACCCATATGGTGGCTCACAACCATCTGTATCTGATGCTCTGTTCCATCATGCAGGCAGACATGCAAAGAGAGTACTCATATGCATAAATAAATAAATAAATAAATAAATAAGTAAATCTTTAAAACAAAACCCTAAACTGAAACAAAAGTCAGCTGTGGAGGTGGCTGGGTGGATAATGGTACTTTACAAATATGCACAAGGTCTTGAGTTTGGACCTCAGGAAGCCAGGTAAAAGCTTAATACAGTCGTGTGCAGGACTGTAATCCCAGAGTCGCGAGGGAGAGGAAGACAGGAAAAGCGCTCGAAGCTTCTAGTGTGTATGCATACACTTGTTCCCTCCCTCTGAATTTAAAGTATAGTTTAGAAAATGTGACCAACTACTCAAATGTTTACCACTCAAGTACGACCATATTCATTCTTTTTTGAGACAGGGTTACATACAGCCCAAGGTCTGGACCCCACTGTATAGCTGAAGACAAACTTGGTCTTCAGAGCTCTCCTCTTACTTCTTGAATGCTATTACATGCATGTGTACTCTCATGCCTGGTTTTATGTCCTGCTAGGGATAGAACCCAGTGCTTCTTGCATGGTAAACATGTGTTTTACCAACTTAGCTACAGCCCAGCCCCACATGAACGCTTTTTTTTTTTTTTTGGAGACAGAGTCTCAAACATAAGCAGAATTACATTTTATACATCCTGTATGTGCCTAGACACTAAGGCAGTCCTGAGAAATGACACCCAAGATGGGCCTCTGACCCGCATACATACACGCATATACATGCATCTCCATACATACATGAACGTACACACACATACACAATTCTATTTGACTGCATAGAGAGACCATATCACCTACTTTGAGCAACTGTTAATCTTTTAGGTGGTTTGTAACTGGAGATCTCTCACCTTGTAGATATCACAGAGATTCGGAAATCGTCAAATCAGGATCAAAAATGAAGCCCAGCCCTCTTCCAGCTCAAATCAGCACTCTCCTCTACCCACTTTGAACCTCAAGCTGGTGAAGTAGCTTCATCCAATCCACTCAAGTCTAGTTGAGATTTAAGTCAGACCTTGGAGTTTAATCCCTGCTTGATATATTAACGACAGGACCACCACAACTTGCGTACAATTTTATTCAGCAGAAAGATGACATGATTATTTCAAATCAGAATAAGAGACATTATTCAAGTTTTGTTCCAACTCAGCACACCAGCTGTGTCTTCCTATAGTGTCCACTCCCTTCAGCCTTCCTGGTGGCCGCAAGGGGTGGGAGGTCAGGCAAGGCAGGGCTGCAAAGTCACCAGGAGGATACACACATTCCAGGAATGTCACTCCCATTGTAGCACGACAAAGGTGATCTCTGTAGCCAGAGAAGGGTTGTGCTCCCAGAGACTCAGTCATCACAGGCGTTCAGCCATGAGTCTTGACCAGATTGGCCTGGAAAATGGCCACTGATGGTCAGATCAGGCAATAACTGGAGTGTCAACAAACTCCACTGTACAGAGCTCTGGGGTCCCCTCACTGCAGGGTGCAAACTGCAGCTCCAACACTGTGATGTTGTTTGGGGCTGAAGTGGTCAGGATGTTCCTTGGCACAAACAAGGTAATTTGTGGGCCCATTGTGGGCCAATATCGGCCAAGGTTAAAGCCATTGATCCATACTTGACCCTGAAGAGAGAGAGAGAGAGACACCATCAGCTGAGAATCACTAGAATCAGAGAGGCAAGAGATGCCCCATAGAGTCCAGCATCCCAGTATCTCCTGTTAGGTGGTAGAGCTTTCTTCAAATGGCAAACCTTGCTGCAGGAGAAATGTATTTGGAGCCTCAGATTCCAGAAGCTACAGACTTCAGTCTTGGGCCATACCTCACCACATTCTGCTATCCACACTGGCTCCTAGGTACTGCCTGTCTGTACCCCAGCCCTCTCCGCTATGGCTGCCCACATCCTCCAGAAGGAGAGTTTCCCTGCTCTCTCTGCCCCACAGATGCAGGGCTCAGCCATGCTGTCTGATGTGTATAAAACCTACACATAGTCTAAGAACTGTTCCCCAAATAACGGAGGAAGACTATGAGGGTGCATGGAGCAGGTGCTGTAATCTCAGGACTCAGAGGCTACGGCAGGAGGATTGGTCTCAGTGTGAAGGCAGCCTGGGCAATATCGTGAGCTTAAGCCACAGGAGTGGGGAAAGGAGGAGGTGGGAGCAGAGGCCTATGCAGCAGAGTGTCTGTATTATTGTCTGGCATGCATTTCTCACAGCTTTCCTCCGAGGGAGGCAGGGAGAACAAGCTGTGTACTTGGAAGACACGGTTTTCAGAATCTTACAAGCTGTGGAGATAACTCCCGTGAGCAGGGAAGTGCTTCCGGAACAGACACATACAGGGCTCGAGGGGTGGCAGAACAGCTGGAACATTCTGTTGAGAAGTTGGGGATGGTGTGGGGGTGGGTCACACGTGGCAGAGGTAAACAGAAGATATGGAAGAGGAGGGAAGGAGCAGAGGCAGAGGGCAGAGGGGACAAGAATGGAGAGAAGGATGAAAAGAGATTGGTACCCCTGGTGATTCCTCCTGCTCATTTTAAAATGAATTAGATAAATTAATATTTGCACACTCTCTGTATAGCAAAGATTGGCCAGAACTGTCTAGTTCATATAATCTCCTGCCTCTGCCTCCAAACACCGAGATTGAAGGGATAATAAAGCTTCCCTTGGCCGGGCAGTGGTGGCACACGCCTTTAATTCCAGCACTTGGGAGGCAGAGGCAGGCAGATTTCTGAGTTCGAGGCCAGCCTGGTCTACAGAGTGAGTTCCAGGACAGTCAGGCTTACACAGAGAAACCCTGTCTCGAAAAACCAAAACCAAAAAAAAAAAAAAAAAAAAAAAAAAA